CATACACTCCTTGCCCACTTAATGTCAAAATCTGCTCTTTTGGTTTCCTACAACATTACTACATCTGGATTTATTTTCTTGATGGCCTCTTTGATTACTACTCTCTTCCTTGCACTTCCAAACCCTCTAACATTCCAGCTTATGATCCTCATCTATCCCTATTTTCCACCCCCTACTCTTAATGCCCTCACTTATTTCCTTTCCTCTTTTTTCCCTTTAACACCAAAACTTTTATCTCCTTCCACATCCTTCATCAACCTTTCAGCCTCACTCAGTTTTCTCTTTTTTACCTAAACTTCTCTCTTTTTTCATAGAAACACTTTGAGATCATTTGGATCTTTCGATTTGCACCCCAACTTCTCCCCAAAGGCTGGCACAGAATCCTCACTAATCATCTCTCCTTTGTCAATCTTTCCATTCCTTCCTTCCCGACTTGTTTCCCCACCTCTACCTCCTTCCTCTTCAATTCTTTCTATACAAACCCCATTTGCCCCTTCGTTCTATAAATTATTCTCCTCAACTTCATTTAACAAACTTTCGAGGATTTCCAGAATTCTTTTATTTCTTTTTACTTCCTCCTCCCTTCTTACCTCTCTCTCACCTGACCCTCCCTATCTCTACTGCTATCTCTTACCCCTTCTTCTCCCACACGGGCTGCAACCTTTGGATTGGGATCAGTATCTGGACACAAGATACAAAGCGGTCATTAGTACCACAAACTAAAAGGACACAGATACCTGGGTTATGCTGAGATAGGATAAGAATGCTGGAAGTGGAGGCAAAATCTGTCAGGCCCTGTTTTGGAGTGAGGGAGTCACCTAACTCCTTGGCTCGGTTCTGAAGAGTTTGCCTTCCCGTCTCATTTGTTGTACAGTAGGATCTCTTCCCTAACCCTCTTCTTTGTCCCTCACTTTTGTACCCCTGTCTTGCTTCTAAGAAATCTCAAATACTTCCTTACGCAAATCTTGTTTTGCAAGATGATTTGGTAATAGAGATTCTGAGTGTGAGTCAAAGTTTCCACCCCCAAAATTGAGATTGTGTTCCGCTTGGCACTTTTTTGACAAACCAAAGAGGTTGTTCTTCGCAATTTTCATCTTCTACTTCTCCTGTAAATAGCGAATCGAGATTTAGAGTCATTGCGAGCTCTTCCTCAGACATCTTCTTGAGTCCAACACTTCCTATGCTGGACTAGTCATCAGAGTCTTCTTCCATTTCCTCTTCCTCCAAGTTACAGTCTACCTAGCCCTCGTCAAACCCTCCCTTTCCTCGTTGAAGTCTCTTGCAGACCTGGGATTTGGCCGGTCCTGTGACAAATGGCCTGCCTTAGTTATATCAAAAGTTGGGCGAGAAGTCCACTATAAGGAGCCTATCGGAAACTACTCTATCCGCTTAGTTGAAGCTGGAATACCCCCATTTGCCTTCTTTGAAGAAGATAGACTATTTCTATCATCTATCCCCAGTTCTTTCCCCCGATCCACATGCTCACTTAAACAGTCCACGTGGGTCGGGTTTCAACCCTGTTGTTGGACCACATTATCCTCCTATTGGTTCAGATAAGCCGGCCCGCACCAAACCTTTGACTGATTCAACTCCCTTCTTAACCACGTCAGCAAATGAAGCTTGGGCCCCCAACTTTTCCTTTAATTCAAAATTTTCCAAATTTCTTTCTTTTATTAGCTTGCGTGCCTTTTGGTTTTCTTCCATCGACTTTCTAGCTTCCCCTTTGGGCCAGCAATGTTCATCGACCTGTCTCGCCAACACCTGTTTGCCACATGTAAACCAGCCTGCCACGTCAGTATCGTCTTCTACCTTGGTTCTTCGCCCCCAGAGCTTTGCCTCTACCTCTGAAATAAGCCAAACTCCATACCAAGCTCTGTTAGAAAGAATTTCAATTGTTCTTGGAATCGGTTCTGGTTTCACCCCAACAATCCTAACCTCTGCAACTTGTAAATCTTGCAACTGGACTTCCTCCATCGCCCAACCTAGCAGTGTCACTATGTTTCCCAGGTCTGCCTCATTCCAAAGGTGGTGGAAGGGAAGTCCTACCAGTTTTAGCAGGAAGCTTCTGCAACCATGTTCCATCTCGCAGGAAGCTTCTGCAACCATGTTCCATCTCATCACAGTAAGGGTAGCACACTGGATAAAGACTTTGGACCTATTTTCAAACTTCACAATGGACGAGTTCTTTAGGAATTAGAGTAGTTAGAGATGACAAGGGGAACAAAATTGCTTTATTTTCAGGGCCCATTGGGCAAGGAGACTCTATTCGAGCATAGCTAAAGGCTGCAGTGATCGGATTGCAAAAAGGAAAGGAAGTGGGTACTGATAAACTAGTTGTTGAAGGTGACTCCAAAATAATTATAAGCTGGTTGTTGGATAGAAGTAAAGCTAATTGGTGTTAAAGAAATGAAATTATAAGGTTTAATGGGATATCAAGACATATGCAAATAGAAATACAGTGGGTACAAAGATCAGCAAATGGCTTGGTTGATAGCTTAGCAAAGCAAGGGGTTACTAGACATCAGCTGTATTGGGCTCAGTTGTGAATCAAATCTGAAGTGGAGTGGGATAGCAGGGGCTATGCTCACTCTCTATATTTGTAATGTAAATCTGCAACCTCTTGTTGTACTGCTATTTCTTTATTCTAATAAAATTTGGTTTTCTTTTGTTGATCAAAACAAAAACAAAAAAAAAAAAAAGATAATGAGTGGGACATGTGTCCCCCCACCACTTCAAGTGGTTAAAGAAGGGAAAATAGTCATCTTGTTAAGATAGGACAAGTGGCATCCCCTTTATAAATAAGTGGGACCTCACAAGATTATTAATTAATATAAATTTAATTCTTTTAGGGCTTGTTGTCCCATTAAATGGGCTCTACTGCAAGCAAATTAAATGCTTATTGCATTGTAAACAAGGCCCAATTAACTTAGGGCCTGGTGTTCACAAAACTGGACTGCATGCCCCTTTCCTAAATTGTTTCAGCCCACCAATAGGACTGATTGGGCTTTAAAACATCAAACTGGAAGCAAAGCCCTTTTTCTTTTTTTTAGTTGTGATTGGGAGTACCTTAAAAACCTGCTCCCAATCCAGCAAAATTAAGGATTTAACACATCCTAAACTGAGTGACCATCATTTTTTAAGGATAAAAAGGAAATTTTATTAAATTTAAAAAGAAGCAATACAGCTCAACATGATGGTTGTCAAGTTGACAAACCAAATACAGATCAGGACTTTGAAGCCATTGCCTCCCTCCAAATTCTGCATGGGTCAGGACTTTTAATTTGGGCCATTGCATTTACCAACCCCCCTAGCAATGGACCACCTGTCACCATTAATATTTACATTCCTGTATTTTTTAGTGTCACTGAGATCTGCTCATAGGCACTCCCCAACTTCTTGTAGAGTTCTGCATCCTTCCATTCTCTTCCCCATTGGGAAAACTATTGCATGTCAATGACTCTTATCATAGAATTCAATTAAAAGATCCTCTCCCCTGAGCCAAATTTGCACCATTTCCCTGTTTTTTTTTATAAGTACCAAGAAATATTTTATTAATTAGGAGAGAAAAGATTGGGCAGCCTCGGCTACCCCATTACACAAAAAAGCAACAAGAAAACACAACAGTAAGAATGACTAAAGCATTATAATTGAGCCCAAAAGCCCCGTGCCCTGTTAACCCCTTGTTTAGAAAGTTGATCTGCAATGTTATTAGCCAACCTTGGGACCCACTGAAATTACACTTGCCTATTACTTAGCAATCTTCTGACTTTTTTTATCTCATTTTGAAAGTACCATGGAGCTTTTTCAGGCTGTTTCATCCAGCTGATGATTACCCTTTGAATCTCCTTCTATTATCAATTTATGGACTCCTATTTCAACAGCTTTTTGTATCCCAAATGTCATAGCATTCCATTCTGTTGTTATGGAGTCCCCTGGACTAAGAGGGCAGGAATATAATCCCAAAATTGTTCCACTGTCATCTCTTACCACCCCTCCTATTCCAAAGGGCCCCGGATCACCCAAACTGCTTTCATCAAAATTTAGTTTAAGGAAGTGATTCACCGGTGGATCCCATGATTTTATCAGTTTCCTCTTTGAATGAGAAGAATCTGCTATTACCTTCCAGTTCCTAGTTAAATCATCATGACTAAAGTCTGAAAACAGACTTAAAGTCTTAACCCAATGTACACCCTTACCATAGCCCCTTCTATCACAGCTTCCTTGCTTCTTTTCTTTTCCTCAAAGATTCTCAGGTTTCTTTCCTCCCAAATGGTCCATATGATTGCTGCCCTCATACATCTCCACATTACTCTCCCTCTCTTTTTCGGCCACCTAAAAGTAGAAGGGTCAAACAACCTGTCCAAACTTCCTGGAGTGTTCCACCTGCACTCAAAGAGTGAGAAGAACCAATCCCAAATGCAGCAAGCAAAATGGCAAGAGATAAAAACATGATAAGCAGTTTCACCATTAGATTCACATAGGTAGCACCAGTTTGGGGAGAGACACCATCCTGATCTCTTTTATAGTAGTTTCTAGTGCTGGCCTCCCTACTAAGGGTATTCATGTAATTATTTTTTTATGAATGTATTCATGTAATTATTCCATTTTAACAATCAAAGAATAAAGCACAACTGTGGTGGCTGGAGAGAGGTTCAACATTCTCTCTTCCTTCCCTTTCTTTCATCTTCTTTCTCCATTGCTTCTCTCTTTCATCTTCTTCAATCCTCTTCTTCTTCTTTTCTATTTTTTGTTTTGTTCCAAATTATTGCAGATGGGATTTACATCAAAGTTACACAAGGATACAGTATTTAGGACTGGGAGACTCAATTTTTCTTATATGGACTTTTTCAAGACCACTAGGAGAGAAATCTGCTTGCATTCTCACTATAAAAGCATTCTCATATGCAAAGAACATGCATAGAATTTCATTATGTTACAGTATTTGGGAGAGCCAAAGCCAATTTTCTCATATATACTTTGTGAAAACCACAAGGAAATACCTGCTTGCATCCTCCTCAAAAGCCAAATCACCAACAAATACTCCCAAATCAAATCCAGCTCTTGGTATGTCAAGTGTTTCATTATAGGAGTCACTCTGCAATAAATGTTAATTTTCTTTTAGGTTGATATATCATAAAATAGTTCATTTATAGACACTAGAAAGCTAGGAAAGCATAGTATAGTCAAGAATAGTGAGCCAATTAAAACTTATCATAGTAACAACATTCCAAAAAACAAGGATGGCATATTTAGATATTGTGCTCTTCTCTTCCATTTTGTCAGGGAGATGGTATCAGATTGTGGCCATGAATCTAGTGGATGTGTAGTATGCTCTCTCAAATTTTAGATGCAAAAATAAGTTAAGAAACTGAAGTGCCTTTATGAGTGGTATATGGAAATAAGCTGGCTTAAATGAGAAAACTTAATCTGATGTGGAAACAACTGTGCCGAGTCAGTGGGATTTATTTCAGTTTTAGTGAGTTTTTTCACAAATGTGATCTTTATGAGTCTTAATATAATAGAAGTTACTATGAAAAAGGAGAAATTTGAGGCTTACAACTTTGTTCTTCACCGAAGCATCCATGTTAAGCTTACAGCTCACTCACTGCAAGTTTTAACAATTGACCTAGTCAAATCAAAAGAAACTGTTAGTGAAAACATCATCAAATGTCTATATAAAATTGAAGCAGGCTGTGCCTGGGCTGAGAGGAAATCAAGAACAGATAAAGCATCAGAAGTGAAGTATGGATGAATGTATTTTAACATAAATGCATGACGCTGACAATTCTGATTCGGGCAATCCAAGATCAAAAAAGAAAAGCACTTTTTTTGAAGAGTAAAAAGAAACTTTTCATTAATCGAGAAGGTCACCACTCTTCACCTTGGCAAGCTTGGCAAGCTTACCCCCGAACAGGCTGCATACATTAGTGTCCCCGTTGAAGGTCCATACAAGCCTGCTCACTACAGGTACTGAAGGAAGGAGAAAACAGAGAAGTATTGAGGCCATGGTTGTTTGCTTTTCATTGTCTTCGATTTGGGTTGGTTGGTAGTTTTAATGATTCTAGAAGGAGAGGAGAGGATAAGGTTTGAGGGAGTGGAGTCCGTGGGGATTGTTTTACATTACGTGTTTAAACAAGGTATGTAGTTTTAAACTGCGTTTCAAAAAAAAGGAAAAACAATCTGAGAGGTGTCAACTACCCCAGATCTATGTCTAACAGAAACAGTCTTAGTTTGCTAATCAAAAACCACTGCTAAGCCCAATTCCCCGAGTTATCTCTATTCATACAAATAGTGAATCATAAGTATAGGTGGCAATTGGGCGGGTTGGGTTGGGTTCGTTTTGGGTTGAGTTTCAACCCAACCCATCAAACCCGCCAACCCATTAATGACCCAATTAGATAGAATTAAATGGGTTGGGTTCAACCCAAACCCACCTGAACCCAACCCAACCCATTTAGATAAAATAATGAAAATTACACAAAAATAATAGAAATTGCAGGAAATAAAATAGAAATTAAACAAAAATGCATAAATTAATAGAAATGACATAAAAATTGAAAAAACAGAAAATTACAAAAAAAAACTGAAATTGCATAGTTATATAGTAAAAATTATAGAGAAAATGAAGAAAAATAACAGAAATTACAAAAAACAAAGAAAAACTAGAAATTGCAAAAAAAGGAACAGAAATTCAAGAATGATATAAAAAATCATAGAAAAACATAGAGTGAAGAAATATAATAGAAATTACAGACAATATAAATAGCTACTGGAAAAGTTACAAAAATTTGTAGAAAAACCACTGTTGGGAAAAATGCCTCTCGTCGTATATAAGGATACTTGTCGTTTAGATATCTAGCAAACAATAACAGTAGCCCCATTGCACACACACATTAATACTATTGATTCCATATTCCAATGAACCGCTTCCCTCAAAAAAAAACAGTTGAACGGAGGCAATCCAAGAAAAAACCCTAACTCAAATGATGGTTTCTCTTCCTCCAACAATCAATGTTCTTCCGAACTGATACTATTGCCATTAGATTAGGGTTCTGGTCCAGAGAGAGAGAGAGAGAGATTAGTAGAGGAGGAGACTTGTCGCCCTCAGATCTCAAATATGTAGAGGAGGAGACTTATCGCCCTCAGATCTGAAAGTTGTAGAGGAGGAGGAGACTTGTTGCCCTCAGATTTCAGAGTTGTAGAGGAGGAGACTTGCCACTCGTAGAGGAAGAGAAATTTGTCAAGATTTCTCTCCAAGATATAAACAAATGATGAAAAAATAGAATCCTTAATGATCCGTTTGGTTTCTGAGAAAGGCTGAGATGAGATGGGATGGGATGGGATGAGAAGGGAATTTTTTTTCTCAATCCTGTCACTTGTGTTTGGTTGTTGAGACCAATTATCCTACCAAATCTGCTTCCAGTGTTTGGTTGCTGAGAAAACTTTGCAGGATGGTTGGATTCATTCCACTTTGACAAATCCATGCAATCTCCAATTCCACAATACAAGACTTGTTTATTGGATGACATGGCACAATAGTATTTTAATATTGCCATGTGTCGTGCTAACATTGCACAATTAAAAGCTCCTATAGTCCTATATATTAAATATATAGCTTACTTGTAATAGTTAATATAAATGGTTCCGTCAAACCAGCCTATTCTTTAATGAACTATAGAATAGGGGATCTGGGTTGTAAAGACCTATAGGACACCATGCACAGACCAACATGACCCATTCTATCTTCGCTTGGAATGGGCATCACAAATTAAACTCATGAAGGCCTTAATCAAGAAAACACCCATGAATCCCTCTGTTTTGCAAAAATCAATACAGCTCGGCAACCCAAGCCTTCTTCATGTAAATAACTCATTTCAATAGTCAAAACTAACCCAAGACCCTATGCTATGGATAACCACTAGTCTATGGAGTTCTCTAAGATACTACTGCACAAAAAGACATAATTAAAATGCTACCCATAAAGCACAGTCATAATTAAAAAATGCTATACATAAAGCAATACAAAGGAAGAGATGACCCACTATACATGTCGGGTTCCATGGTATCCATCTCAGAACAGAAGGGGAAGAAATGAGCAAAAGTTTAAATTCACCCCAAGTTCTGATCATAAGACAAAATCATGATCAGTCACCCAATTACTTGTCATATTCCATGAGATTGTAGTTAAAACTTATTTATATTCTTTTGTTTACTTTTATGCTAATCAGATAAGAAACAAGCAAAGGAGATCTGCTCATCTGTAACAGATGTTTTGACCAGAATAATCTATTTTTCTTGGCTCTTTTTTTGTGAGCTTTGAGGGCTGTTATTTCTGGCCCAACCAGAACCTACCCTTGGAACTTTGAAGGATTTCTTTTTGGATCTTACAATTGATCCTTGTAATCTGGAACCTATCCTTGGAGCTTTGAGGGTTGTAGCATGAAGTTACTAGTTTCACTATCCACCCATCAAAATAATTGTTCCCTAGTAGCTCCTTGTTTGTTTTGGGGATTCTTACATTAAAATTATTTTTACCTGCTTTCCAACAATTAAGTGATTTGCTTCGAACAACATTCCCCTCTTTTTCTACAGGTCTTCATCTTTTAAAAGTTGAATTTGGGCATTTAAGAGAATAGGAAGATACTCTGTTCTGACCTCCTTTTGATAACAAATTGAAGTAATGATTGTCTCTGACTCTCTGCTCTTTTAACTTCTGTGGGAATCGATCTTGGCCTGTGTATTTTATTTTTCACAGTGTATTCTATACTGAGGAAGCAGACAGGTAATGTTAATGCAAAAATACATTTCAAGAAGGTGTTTTTAATTTTTCTGGTATGACAACTTCAAAAGAAAAATGAAAAAAAAAAAAAAAAAAAAAAAAAAAGAACACAGCAACCCATGGTGACTGATGTTTATTCAACATTTGTTCTGATCCAGAGACAGATAATCATATGAATGTAAAAACGAAACAAAAAATGACAATGGAAAGTAGACTTCTATCGATCAACACATGGGAAAAATGAAAGAGAGATTATACGATCAACATATACAGGGTATGTGGTACCTCAGGCTAAAAATCCCCTACTTGGTTTGCTTGAGATGACCTGAAACAAATCAAAAATAAAACGCCAGATCTGGAAGAGGCAGACGCCGGAAGCCAGATCTGGAGCTCCAACGTTAAAATGAACGCAAATGGCTGTCGATATGGAAGAACAACGCCTTGAACGGTAGATCAGCCGTTTTCTGGCGATGAAAATTGGTCAGGACGAGCAGGGATGAAGGTAGACAACGGTGAGATTTGAAGGGGGAGCTCAAAGAAGACAAAAATGGTTAAAAAATGAACGCAAATCGCCAGAGGATGCAAAATCTGAGCTTGCCTTCGAAAAAATCGTCGGAGATGGCGCCGGCGAGATAACCATTGGACGGCGTGTGAGGAGAAGATGACACTCTGGGTTGGCGCTCTCGACAGTATTTTCTCACGAATGACTTTTGTTTTCCTTTCTCAGTGGGGTCTCTCTCAGATCTTTCTCTTCCCATTCCATTTCTTCCTTCAAAGCAAACACCTGGAAAATAATATATTCTTTAAAGATTCATTTCTTCTTATACATACTTTCTCAGCAACCAAACGGCAATCAAACGGATCGGCAACCAAACGGATCATAATTGACGGATATCCATTGGATACCCATGACCCAACCCGCCCAATCCATTTAAAATTTTGTTATTAGGTTGACCCACCTACTAAGAACCCAGTATTAAAATTGCAATCCAACCCGCTAATAAATGGGTGGGTTGGGCGGGTTGAGCGGGTTGGGTTAAAAATTGTTGCCCCTAAATTCATAAGCTCCAATCACAAAAACCCACTTTGATCAAAGAGAAAAAAGTAAATCTATACTATTTTAAAAAGCACGAATGGCTTCAAGAATATTTATGGAATTTCTAAGGACAAAATTTACTCCTCTATATTTAAATTTATTGATAAAAAAATAAGAGCAGATAGGGTAATGGGTTTTGATATTTAATGAGTTGAAAAGAGGTAATTTAAAGATATTAAATGCATTCAATTCTCTCTCATAAAATCCAACATTTAAGTTATTAACTTGCATTCATGTCCATTCAATCATATATTTAAGTCATTTTTGTTTCTTCTCATCATTGAGTTCTATTAATTAAATCTATACATAATAAATTAATAATTCCAAAAACATAAAAACTTATACTTTTAAAATCTACCTAGCAAAAATAGTATTTTCATCTAGGTGGTGGTAAAAATTAATCATTTTGGGTCAAATGGGTTAATCCAGATTAAACAATAATAAGTATGATAAATAAGATAAAATGAAAAAAAATATAAATTTAAAAAATTGGAAAAATTTTTAACATACATATTAAACAATAATAAGTATGATAAATAAGAAATATTTTTATTAATGATGGAAATGGAATGTAAAATTTAAAACCAATTAGAAATAAAAATAGTTTCCTATTCTCTCTCATTAAATCCTATATTTAAAATATATTTTTCTCATCATTAAATTCTTGCAATTAAATCTACAATATTAATTTTAATAGTATAAAAATAAATATTTTGAAAAGTAATTTGAAAATAAAACATTTTCTTCCCTCTTGGTGGGTAAGCAATTCAACCATTGGGGGTCAAATGGATTAATAAATAATGTCATGATTAAATAATAAATAATTATAAAATGTAAGATTTTATTAGTGATGAAAATGGAATGTCAAATTCAAAATCTACCTAGAAATTAAATGATGTCATAGTTAAATAATAAAATTTTTAATAATAAATAATACAAAGAATCACAAAAATAAAAAAAAATAAAAAAGATAGAGAAAATTTCGGGCGCATATCTAATGTTATATATTTATAAAAAATAAAATATTGGATACATCTCTAATATTATGCAATCATTATGTTAAACAAAAATAAGTTTTATACATAACAAACAATTTTATCAATGATGGAAATGTAATACAAAATTTAATGTCAACCTAGAAATCAAATAATTTTTTTTTAGATGGTGGGTTCGTGGTCTGAGTCAAATGATACCATAGACAAACAAAAATTAAGTGTGAAGTAAAAAATATTGTATATAATGTAAATGAAATATACAGTTTAAAAGGAAAATTATAGTCAAAGTCAGTTGTACATTTAAAATTAAGTTATAGGTAAGTCCAGAAACTGACAGATCTCTAACAACCGGCTCTACATTTCAAATTATAAAATCCCATGCCATGTCATCGGAGGCTTATGTGGTTGTTGCTAACATGGGACTCTTAGTTCATGTTGAACACAACAAAAAAACATATACCAAAAATAGGATTGTAGTTTCTCTCCCACTCCCTCTGTCTCTCGATCTCCCTCCCTTCTCTCTCATTCTCACATTCATCTCTCGATCTCCTACTCCCTTTGTCTCTCTCATTCTCTCAACTTTGGTCTATAACTAAATCAAAACTGATCTCTCTCTATACCCTTAATATTTCTCATTCTTCTCCCTCACTCTCTCTCTCTTGGTCAATATCTCATTTTGCCTCAATCTCTATCGTTCTCCAATTGGTGTAAATTTCATAACCAAGAGCTTCTTGTGAAATTTTATCAAATTAGTGTAATAATTTTTTAACCATACCAAGTTAGTCTCATGTTCTTTTATACGATTTGATTAATACCATATAAGTGTATAAGAAAATAAAAAAATGAGAGAGAGTGAGAGAGAAACAGAGGGAGAATGATAGAAATTAAGGGAGAATGAAAGATCGACCGAGAAAGAGAATGAGAGAGATTGAGGGAGAACGATAGGTAGAGAGAGAATGAGAGAAATTGATATAGAGAACGTAAATACAGAAATCAAAGACCATTTTTATTATTTTCAAATCACATAGTCGTTGAGCAGATAAATATGATTGTGAGTGAAAGAGTGTGAGGGAGATAGAGAAAGAAACGAGAACCCCCTTTTTTTATTTTCCAATCACCCAACATTAAAGGGCAATTTTAGTAACTTTTGGTTGTGTCCAACATGGATTAAGAGTCAAGGGAATTTTGGTAACTATACGGGTAAAGGTAGTTCGATCATTTGGGGTTAGTAGAGGTCAAACTGAAATTCTTATTTGATGGTGGGGATTTGGGTTTAATTGTGAAGGGCTGAAATGAGTCTGAGTGTACATGGAAGTTCTATGTATGCAGGTCAATAAGATTAGTCGAAATGGAATCTTTTATATAAATGGGCAAACGGGGGTATTTTTAGTTAAAATTTGGCAGGGTAGGGTTTTTGGTTATTCTAGATCGATTGGTGGGGTCATGTTGGTTCAGTAGTGCTCGAATCAAGGGATTTTAAGGTACGAACAATCCAACCAATGAGAAAACCCAAAATAAAATTTCCTTTGCTAGATGGAAAAATCGAAGAATTTTAAGTTAAAATTTAATTGGATGGGGTTTCTGAGGGGCCTGGATGAAACCATGGGCTTTGTTCAATTTGGATATGTTCGGATTGGGGGAATCAAAGGTATTAATGATCTGACCAATAAGAAAGCTTGAAATAAAATCTTTCTCTGATGGATGAGTAGATCGAGGAATTTTGAGTTAAAATTTTGTACAATCAGATTTCTAAATGTCTTGAATGATTTGGAAAGGTTTGGTTAGTTTGAATGTGTCCGAATCCGAGGAAATTAAGGTACGAGCATTCTGAGTAATGAGAAAGTCCATAATAGAATCTTCATTCAATAGAGGGGTTGGTATAGAAATTTTGACCTAACATTTATCTGGGTTAGGTTTCTGACATGCCTAGACAAGTTAGCAGGATTTGATTGGTTCAAATGTGTTCAAATTAGGAGAATTTAGGGTACAGGTGGATAAACCAATGAGAATTATTAAAATGTAATTTGTGTATCATAAAAGGGTAAAGTGGGGAGTTTTGCAATAGAAATTATCCTAGGGTTGAGTAGTCTCGGGGTGTATCGAGGTGAAAAGTCATGATTTAAAGAGTAATAAGCAATAAGAACCATTAGATTGAGATTTTCCTGATATAGGGGTAAAATGGTCATTTTGAGAAAAAAGGAGGAGGTTTGATCGAGGTTTCTAGGAAGGTGACAACAGAGTCTAGGTGTATTGGAGGTCGTATCGCAATACAAATATTAAATTTGGGTAATTATGGCTAATGAAAGGGCTTGATTTGGAATCTTTGCGTATAAGGGGTAAAACATACATTTTTCAGTCATAAATTTGTTAGGTGGTTAATGAAAGTTTTGGTGAGGTTTGGGTGTCTTGGGAGTATTGTTGTGATGGAACATATGATTTTGAGAGTAGTGAGCGACGAGGGTGGGTGATTTGGAATCTTTTTATATGAAGGGCAAAATTGGGATATTTAAGTATGAAATTTGGTTGGCAGACATCCTAGGATATTTGGAGTCTAATGGGTGTGTCTGATGGCTTTGAAGGTATTAGAGTTATTAAAATCAAGGTTATAGGTATTTCGGCTAATGAAATGATTCGAAATGAAATCTTGGTTTGGTGAATGGATAAATGATAAATTTTTAGGTTGAACTTTAGTGGAATGACATGGATTTGAATTAAAAGGCTGTTAGGAAGGTTTGGTCGTGTCAAGGTCAAATGGATCATAGGCTTTAGGCTCGAGAATGTCATAGTATCAAATTCATCGAAATAGAATCTTTGTCGGATGAACAACAAAATAAAGAATTTTAAGGTTACAATTTGATGTGATGGGTTGTGTAAAGGTTTTGCTTCATATGATGGGGTTTGATTGTGCATTAGGAGTGTGAGAAGTGGGTTTGATGAGGGGACCAAGCAAAAATTGGGTGTTGGCAGGGCTAAATTGGTAGGCAAAGATGCACCATAAAATTAAGCTATATGTTTCATTGGGATAGTTGAATTGCTTCATTAAATAATATGGGCGTCATAGACTAGTGGAAGAGACTTATCCTAAAATTGAAGATGCACCATAAAATTAAGCTATATGTTTCATTGGGATAGTTGAATTGCTTCATTAAATAATATGGGCGTCATAGACTAGTGGAAGAGACTTACCTTAAAATGGAAGATTCTTTCATAGAACATTGGGGCTCCCAATATATAAGGTCAGCACTTACCGATTAGAAAGGTTTACCTAAAACGGTAAGGACGAGGAAAATATTTTTGCCTAGAACCGGGGATGGGGCAGGGATGTGGTTTTTATATAATTCCCTGAACCTATTGGTAAATTAATAAAATATCCCTAAATTTAGTATTATTTTTAAAATATCTTTAAAATTTCCTCAAATTCTTAGGTCTCGTTTGGCATCAATTCTCATAATTATTTCTGGTGATTCTCATGATTTTGAGAATGAAAATCGCATTTGGTTTTGCCCAGTCCCTGTTTCTCATTCAAAATGGGATGAAAAAACCTTCCGCCAACTCGATTCATTGGAGTGAAAAAAATTGGATTCTTTGAATGAGAATTCTCGGTCGAATTCATTTTTGTGACGTCATTCTTTAAAAAATGAACACGTGTGATAAGAGTCACACGTGATAGTGAGGGTACA